CTCCTGCCAGAGCCCACGGCCTGGCCTCAGCTAGCACGTGCCTCTTCTAGTTGCCTGTTTCCAGTGTGGCTCCAGCTGGGTGCTACCGTGTCCCCCCACCACATCTGCAGGGGCAGCTCCTGCTCCTGATCTTGCCCTTGCCATGCTGCACTACTCTCTCTGGTTGAGCAGCTTCAGCTCCTGCCCTGGCACGTGGGGCTCTGGCTTCAGTTCCTGGCCACCTCTCAGTGGAAAGCAGCCAGGAGTTGGAGCTGGAGTCCCATGCTCTGGGGCAGGAGCTGCCCACATGCCCGGCAGGAGGAGGAGCCACTGCTGCAGGCAGGCAGTGCGGAGCAGTACCTGGACAGCTGCAGCCACACTGGGAACAGCTGCTCCTGCCTCTGCCACGCCATTCCAGGTGGTCGGGCGGGCAGCTTCAGCTGGGTGGCTCCTGCCCCAGCACTCAGGGTTCCAGCTTCAGTTCCCAACCGCCTTCTCAGGAGCTGGAGCCCAGAGTCCTGCGTGCTGGGGCAGGAGCCACCCAGCTGAAGCTGCCTGCTTGCATGGCTTGGCAGGGGCAAGACCAGGAGCAGGAGCTGCTGCTGGAGGCAGGGAGAGCAGACCAGCACCTAGCCAGGCTGAGGCAGGCTTGCGGGAGCAAGTGTAAGTGCGGTGCAGGCTGTAGTACAAGCAGGTGGGGCTTGGCCCCATGTAGAGTGCCACAAGGGCAATGTAGACTGCACTGCCCTGGTGAGATCTGCTGTATGTGCCCCCCCATGCCCCTCTACACACACAGCCCACACTTCCCCTGAGGGCAGGGACATGTAGGGAATGAGCCCGGCCCCCGGCCCCAGCTGTCACCGCTTTGTGATACATCTCTGTGATCCCAGACTTACCTGTGCCCTCCCACTCCTGAACACTGCTCCCCACCTGCCCGTAGCCCCATAAGGAGTTTTGGTGAGTTGTTGTATTTTGGGGGGAGGCAAGGAATGCTGTCCAGCTGGCCCGCAACATCTCATTAAAACTCTCCATGTGGGCCTTGGGCCCAAATAATTGCCCGCCCCAATATAGAAACTAGGTCCTAGCACAGAGTTTTAGATTTCATTCTGGGGAAATATGTCTAAGGCTATAATAGCATAGTAAGCATACTGTCTTTGGTAGCAGCACCCTCAACACTTCATTGTGTTGGTTTCCTCCTGAACTGGAAGCAGTGTAACTGCATCCACATAGGTTAACTAATCATCTTGGAGGTGTCCTAATTGGCACAATTAATCATTAAAGCTAATAAAGCCTGCTTCAAGCATCAAGGGGAGACATCCCTGGTTAGAAGGCAACACATCTCCAGCAGCAAAGTGTTTCAGGGCATTGCTACTGAAGACAATAAATTTACCAGAGGGAAACGTAGCGTTAGTCCTTTATTGCAGCTGGGTCTTGGTATCTTTAAGTTTTCCTTGAAGATGCTGTTTAATGGTCTGCGTAATGTTAGAGCAGAACTATGAATCCTATCAGGTAAACCAAAAATGCTTTTTCAAATAGGATGCTGTGGCCTTTTTTCATAAAAGCTGCTTAAATTTTCTTCTAGCTAGGAGCAGTGGGTTTTTTCCTCCCAAAGTTGTTTTTATTTTAATGCCTTGTTTTCAAATACTCAAAGTAGTGAAGTACTAGATGGCAGTTAATGGTGCAACAAAACACAAAACTTGGCCACAAAAGTAAACTAAATATGTATAATAATTTTATGACTGATTTCTATTGAGCCTTAAAATGAATATGATGCAGCTGATGATTGGCTGGCTCTGGGACTGCACTGTGGCTCAAATGGCTCAAGTCCCTGCCACCTGACAGTCAGCTGATCATCGGCTGGCTCCAGGACCTCATGAGCTTGAACCCCAGTGTGGTCCCAGTGCTGCTGATCATCTGCCTCATGTCCATTTTAAGGCACACTGGCACAGAGTCCAGGATCATGATCTGGCAAGTAGAACACCATTGGGGTCTGATCCCCAATCCCAACAATCGCGTGTCCTGCCATGCACATATATCGCCTTTAATGAATGTCTGTCAATAGCCTATGTTTCAGATAACCAACTAAAAAATAATTCTGTAGTGCTGGATGAAACCCCAGATTTCCATTCATCAGAAATTTTCAACATTTCAAACTTTTGTTTCACTGCAGTTGAAACACAATATTAAGTTTTGAAATGTTCTATTAAAAGTAATTTCCAAAACATGTTTTTGGAAATGTATAAACAGCGTTCTTGACCATTTTTATTCTATTAAAGTTGTATTGCTTTGTTTTGATATTTGTAAGAAAATCTAGCATGATTAATATAATGTAATAGATATAGTGAAAATAAAGATGAGAGTCAAAACAAAGTACTTCAACTTGATTAAAATGAAATATTTTGCTCTAATTAAAATGGAAAGTGTTAATACTTTTTAAAAAAAAATTGGTAATTTTAATGTTTTTGTGAAATCCTGCATATTTACTGAATCAACATTTTCTGCCTGGCAGCTGTTCCAACACAAACCTTCACCCAGCTCTAGTATTCTGAAATATATTTTAGAAGGTTGAGAAAATGACTTGTATATAATGAGCTTTTACTTTCATAATTTTAGCTGTAAGAATTTTTAAAGACCATGATTATTTGTCATTCATTTGTAATAAAATACTGCCAGACTGTTACTGTGATAAAATATACAATGATGATTTCATCTAGCAGCTTGTATCTCAGATATCTTGATATAACCACTACTATTAAAAAAGCTACCTAACTTAATGTCACAAATACTGTGAGGAATACACAGTGTGCCAATTCTATGTGGTTGTAATTGGCTTTCATATAATTATTTCTTAATAAGTTTTTCTTACTGGCTATTCATTCAGCTGTTTTAAATAATATCCCAGCATAATCTTTCCAAATTGTTTGTTTAGGCTATAACACTCTGATTCCTCTCATAAAGCAAGTCAAAAATGCTTTCTGGGTGCTTAGTCATAAATATCTCTTATACCATTATTGTGAAAATAGTATTGCTTCAAAAAAATCCTACAGGTTTGAAAACCTTTGTTTCATGAATAAGCCTTGGAATTTGGAAGACATTTTCACTGAGAATGAGCTACTCCACAACTCCCAACTGCAAAATGTCTTGTACCTTGCCCTGCCCAAGCAACTAATATTAGGCTAGTGAGAAAGACAGGACATTGGAATTAAACCAACTTCTAATCTTTTGTAATAACTCCATTTCACACCTTGAAAAAGGAAAGAAAAGTAACTTTCAGGGATAGTTGAATGTTGCAATTGAAGTCTAGACCTAAATGCCTGTGTTACTTCTACAATTCATGGGCAAAGTTAGGCATCTCAGAATAGGGTTCATAACAGCTTGTATACGTAATAGGAAACTGCTAAGGCTGGCCAATAGCAAACACTGAAGAGAGGGGTGCGTGTTTAAATCCAGCCTTTTTCAAGGGTTTAGGTGCCTTTCTCTAGACTACAGAGGCACCTATGTCAGATGGAGATTCTGAGCTCAGCACATCTCCTGGACTTGGGGTGCCTAAGCCACCCTTTCAGGAGGTATCAGGGGTTGTTCTCTTTGGCTAAGGGCAGAGATTCCAAAAACCTGAGCCTGAATTGATTCAGTCTTTGCAGGTTAGTCTAACCTGCAAAGGCTAAATCAGTTTTGTAACCAGACGGGCATCCCAGACATGCAGTGGCTCAGACCAGAAGCTGGGGGGTGCTAGAGCAGCCCTCCCTTCCTTTCCACAGAGCTGAGCTGAGGGGGGTGTGGCCCGGCCCTGGCAGGATGCTCTGATTAGGGAGGGGTACCCCCACTTCTGACCAGCCCAGCAGGGAATGTTTATCACCCCTAACTCAGTGTTTATCAGCCCATTAAGAAAACAACAGAGGGACATGACCAGCTATCTGTTGAGTCTGCCTTTGGTCCTGTCTGCCACAGCTCGGAGGTAGACAGCATGTGGTCTGCTAGCTAATGCTGAGAGGTGTCTGTGAGGGACAGGGGAATGCCTGCTTAGCAGAGAGTGGGGAGGGGAGGGGGGGAGCAGAAGCCAGGCAGATGCCGGCAGACACTGCCGGAGCTGCAGCCAGGGAGCAGATGGGAGGGGCCAGCCCTGCTGTGGAGCATAGAGCCCCACCCAACCCAGAGAGCATGCTGGAGTGCTGGGGTACTCGGATTTAACTTAAACCAGCAAGGGGTCTGGGACAGACATTGCATAAACCAGTTTGAGCCAAATCAGCGAAGTCTGGTACTTCATTCAACTAGGTTTATTTCAAACCGGTCTCAGCCACTCTCAAACTGGTTTATGTGCACTGAACATATGTTCTCTTACAGGTT